GCTGCTTCCCACGGCCTTTGATGCCTGGAAAGGGAGCAAGATAATTATAGGTACACTGACCAATTGGGACCATTTACATCCACTAGTTTTTTGGACCTTTTTTCCCTAAGTAAGCACATGAAATACAGCTGTAAAGTCTACAACTTATTCATAATACATTAAGGCAGATTCAGCAAAACAGGCTAGTAAAGCTTCATGCCCCATTAACCCATGTCAGAAGTATTCCACCACAACTGTATTTCATGAGGTATCACACCTGGCTAACAAAGTGATCACTTCAGATTTAACAGCAGCTTTGAACTGTCTGTGTAAGTATGAACATTTCCTGCCCATTCTCACCAGGCTAACTATAATTTCCTAGATAATTGTGCACTAAGACTGGGATGACCCTAAATTTGGTACTGTCTGGCTTGAGTAAGTGCTAATCTCAGAGGAGGCCACAGCTGCCCCCAAAGAGGGGACTCTGAGGTTAGTTCCTCCCAAAAGCCAGAAAAGCCAGGGATCAAATTAAAAAACAAAGCAGCAGCAAGGAAGCACAGCTCAGTGTGGGAATCTGAACCAGCCCAGGACTAACTCCAAGAGGTAATTCACTCTCCACTCCCTTTTAGAGCTTTAGTGTGTCAAGATTATTTCACTGCTGGGTCAGCAGCAACTGGTGGAAGGTTTAGTTTCTCCACATCCCCACTCTACCCTGAGCATCACCCACGCTTTAGATACATGGGTAGCACTAGGACAGATAGTAACTGCTCCTCTGACAGCTACTAATTTTTGTAGTTCTTGTGAAAGGCAGGTTACCCCCACAGAGACACAGCACTAGATGTAATTTGTGATTCATGAAGCAATTTCAACCCAACGTCTGTGCTGCCTGCAGCCAGATCCCTCAAATCTGAGGAGCTGGCAGCTAAACAAGCACACATGGAACAACCCAAAATCTGGTCAAGGTCCACACTTACCTGGCTTTGAGGGTAGTGATATAGAGGGCACGTTTGGTAGTGGTACTGTCTCAGGACCACTTATTTCCAGCAAGTTTTTGTCTAGTTCTTCTTGTTCTAGTTCCTCTAGTTCTGCCATGAGTTCATCCTAGGTTTTTAAAGGAGAAAAAAAAAAAGGAAGGAAGAAACTCTAGGTTACATCTATTAGCAAGTAGATTTAGCTAGTCATATTATTAAAGAAAATAGCTTAAATGCACAGGATCAGATCAAATTGAGGAGATGAGGAGTCTGACTTCACCTGAACTCCTGCACACTGTCTCTTGGAGGGGGAGGAGGGTGGGGAAAATAATTAAGAGGATCCAGACCATTCTCAGCATAAAGTCAGGGTCACAGCTGCTGTGTGCACTGGTAGGAACAGCCAGTAACAAGTTCTAGGAGATGTTATGTCCTGGTACTACACCTGGACACTGGCAATGTGCAGATCTTAAAAGAAAGACCTCATATGAGTCTGCATCCATGGAGGCATTTAAAAACAGTGTGGATGTGGTACTGAGGGACATGGTTTAGTGGTGACCTGCCAGTGCTGGGTTAATGTTGGGACTTGAGGAGCTTAAAGGCTCTTCTTCAACTTAAACAATTCCATGATTCCATGATATAAACAGAGACAAAATTAAAGCATACCTCATCAAATTCTTCCCCAAATCCTACTGGCTTTGAGATGGCTGTTGAAATCTCATCTGCCAGCTCTTGCTGTTCTGCAATGTCCTGCATTAATTCATCTACTTTATCAATATCCCTGCAGAAGAAAGGAAAGAGTTCAATATAATCAAGTACTCTCCCAGTCAACACTTCAGACTGTATTCCTTGGGCTTTGTAGAAATGCCACACCATGGTGACATTTACAAGGTCCTTTCCCAAAATATACTTTGCACGCAAGTCCGAATTTTATCCCCTCAGTCTCAACAGAATTAGGCAAATATTTTTCACTTTTCCCTAAGAGCTTAGCTGCCAGCAGTTATATACAGACTTCAGATGAAGGGGTTTTGTTCTGCTTCACTGATATTAACAATAATTTGCTCTATTCCCTGATCCAGCATTATTACATCTACAATATTTGCTTTTGGAACAAGTACAACGTTCCCGGAATGCAGTTTACCTTTCATTATTGCTACATACACAAACTCCACTGCACAGAAAGAAGTTTAAGTCTTCTCTTGAGGCTTAAAATTCTTGCTGCTACTCAGTGGGTCTGTAACTGGTGCCCCTTCCCATCTGCTTTAGGCTACACTGGTGCTAGCCTTCTCTTGGACAAAGGCAGTGGCCCTGTGCCATATGAAATGGTAGAAAGCCATTTTACACACTTGAGAAAGCATCAACACCTGCATAGTTCGTTCAAAATTAAAGTATATTTACTATTTCAGTTTAAGTTTGAGGCTTTTAAAAGAAGATTTTGCTACTCTAGCTCTACCTTTGGTTATGAAACACTCGGCATTTAGCAGATCAAAGACAGTACAAACTACAGGTCCTATGGAAAGATGCAGGAGGGAATAACTTACATGTTGTCATGTGCAGCTTTCATTGCTTTAGCAGCAAACCCCATATTCTTCAGCACTTCAGTGTTAGTGTTGGCATTCTCAAGGGCTTCCCTCTGAAATTCAATTGTTGATAACGTGCCATCTATCTGTGCCAGCTGCTTCTCGTACCTCTTCTTGCGCTTTAGGGCCTGAAGAGCAGCTGAGCAACAAAGAGAAGGGTTGGACTGGTGAGATTTATGCCCAAAACAACCACTGCCATTCACCATGTGCCGCTCAGTACAAAGAAATATCTAGCATGTTCTACTGTTTCTTGTCCACTTTTCTTCCTGGACAAACTCAGTAGCCTAAACTTTCTGTTGGACTCCTTCAACAAAAGTGTTTTAAGGTGGCCAGATGACTCCTGTCCATTGCCTGTCACATGAAGGATGCAAGCCAAGCAGCAACTCCAGGAGAGGTGGTCCAGTCCCTCCTAACACACCACAGACCAGAGACTACACTACAACAAAGAGCCAGCTTCAATAAGCAACGATCCACTTCAAGGCATCTTTGTTCACGTGAAGGGGCAGCTATTGGTGCAGCTCCTGTCAGATGAGGTGATGATGCTGTGGGTCCCCACTGAACAGATGAACTCCTCTGCAGCTAAGAGAAGCAGCTCATTCAAATAAAACACAGGATGGATATTTCCTCAGTTTTACTACTCAATGCTGTGAGATACACCTGCACATACATAGAAATGTGTATATGTAAACAAACTTTATGCATGTTTCACATTACTCCTGCTACAAGGCACTGTCCACAGAAGTCTCTGCTGATAGACCTGAGAAGAGATCCCATCACTGCAATTGGTTTGAGCAGTCTGCTGCTTGTAAATGCTCTGGCAGGAGGAGCCCACCCATGAGATCAGCAGGACAGAGCTCCACACCCAGCAGATCACCTGGTGTGGTGTGGGAGGACTGGTCCAACTTGCTACACAGCCAGGCTTCTCCAGCTCCTTCTGCAGTGCTCTGCTCTGCTCCACTCCACCCAGACAGGGAAGTGTCCAACAGATGACAACAGTCAACAGCCAGCTCTTCCTGAGACACCCCAGACACGAGGGGCACATCTGCTCCCAAAACACTGGCAGTGTCAACACAAACTGACAGTGAACACAAACTAGATTCACATGTAATCTTGCCTGGCTATGGCTACAAGTTTTGGCAGGAGCTGCAGTGTGGGGAAGACCCCCCAAGCACTGAGCACTGCCAGCTGACAAACACCAAGTATCCCATGGAGTAAGATGTGTGTACAGCTTCTCTTCATGGCCTTCCTACTTCCCCTCCTGACAGGACAGACTTGTGCAGTGCCTGACAGTGCTGGCCATATAACACACCCAGAGTACTTCAGCAGCTCTGCTCTGACACAAGCTGCTGTCCTAAGCAGCCTTACCCTTGGTTTCTGAACTCTGCCACATGCACACTCCATTTCCTCAGTGCTCTAACCTCTGGGAGTCACACAGCAGAAAACAGTTCACATGATACTGGAACAGCTCTCCTAAATAATTAATGTCCTGGACCTCCCAACACCTCAGTCACACATACCAGGAACAGTGGTAAATAAAGGATTTCCATCTTCAAATTTCAGCCTTTGCAGATTTTTTTTGGAGGCAAGAAGAGAACAAGAAGTAGGAAAACCTGACAGCAGACAGACAGGTTCCCTTATCTCCCCTAGGAGAGGGATGAATTGTGATGTGATGAGGATGTTCCTGAGACACACTCAGAGCAGCTCCTCTCCTCAAAGCGGATTAAACCTGCAGGTACCCCACGTATTTTGTCAGATGCCATCTTGAGAAGCTTGGCAGTCCCTTCAAGATAACATCCTGGTATCCAGAAGCCCTACACAGACCTCCAGTTCTACAATCAGTTAGGAATATGCTGTATTTGAGTGCTTTCAAACGACACTGATGTAGTACAGAGCAAACAATGGCTTTGTGAAGGTACGGCCGAGGCTGCCGAGCACGCGAAGCAGCACAGGCTGATTTACCAGAAGTGATGAAACCCTCAAAATCACAGGTCCCCTCGACTGCTCCTACAGAAGCCAAAGATCCAAAAGAAGCTCCTCCACTGACTTTCACTCCAACAACCAGTAAATTTCAGTAAATTCTGGGGCCAGTCCAACACCCACTCTCATTTGACAGGAGCAGGAACAGGACTGGATCTCTGTGTAGCAAAAAGGACAATGTTTGCTCTGCAGAATCAAGCACAACACAAATAACATCAGAAACATTCCAGCTTTATGCCAGATGATAAAATGATGAGCAACACATTACTGGTGTATTTAGTCTGGTTAATTTTGTGCTAATGGTTTAATTAAGGATATCTAAAGTTTCCTTACTCAGAAAGATAAAGCTGTTGAAAGGCTGTGTGTTTATACAGCAACAGATGCTGGGGAACTGCCAGGCAGTGAAAGCACATCCTTTACTGAGGATTTTGTGCATTGTGGAGAATTGCTGGCAAACCCAGAGATTTTATAGCCATTATACAAACCCAAGTAAAGTACCACAGTTTACATGCAGTTCCCCACTATAGCTTTCTCTGAGAACAGTTAGCATCTACATTTCATGCTTATGTAGTTTTAAAACAAGCTGCTGAGACACCAAACATGGCAATCCTCACTGTAAAAGAGCTTGTGATGCAGTTTTTTATCAGGACTGTTGGGTAGCCCCTGTTCCTCCCGTTCCCACACACGGCAGGTCAGGGTACCAGAGCTGGGCTCCCCAGAGTTCATTCCATTCTACAAATCCTTAATGAATTTCTCTCTTGTTCTACAGACCAAGGCTCCTGCTTTTCCCAAAGCACAGCACATTGCCAGCTTGCAGAGCTGAGCAGGGCTCCCTCCACAAGCCCTGGCTGACGGCTTATGCCGGGGTCCAGCTGCAGCACTGCTGCCCCCCCAGTTCCCCCTGGGCCTCCTCCTCTTCCTGCTGCCCTCTCAGCCAAGCACCCACCACACTCAGATCTGCCACGGCCAGAAGCCTGGCTGCAGACCCCTGCCTGGGAACAGGAATAGAAACATGCTTCTCCTAAACACTTGCCTTGTTTCCAATGCAAACTTAATATGGATTTGTGGCATTTTCTGGAAACAATTCCAACTCCTTCAGACCAAGAGCAGCCCAGGCAGATATTTATACTTTCCCCTCTCCTCCATAAGGCCAATGCAAGGACAAAGCTTCCTATGGCCACAGTGCTCACCTGTACCTACCTGAAGACCAACTGGTAGAAATGGCTCTTTCAGTAGCCTAAGGAGTAAGGACTAGCACACAGCCCCAGCAATAACCACAGGGCCACATATAAAGCTTCTAACTATCTTTTAATGTAAAATCCCTGTTTATAACTAGATTTTATTAAACTGAGAAGTTAAGAAAACACCACATTAATTTAGGTCACTTGCATTCATTTCATCCTGCAATTTTTGCCAACTGATCTCCTTCCTGCTTCCCCCACAATGAGGATTTGCACTTTATGTTCAGGACTGTCCCTGTAACTAGAGGCACAGCCCTTTCACCCGTGCCCCTGCACACAGACCCAGCTCTGAGAGCAATGCTCTGTGCCACGGCCCTGCTCCCCAGCAGGGGCTGGGGCAGACCTTCCCAAGGCACAGCCCTTTCACCCGTGCCCCTGGAGACAGACCCAGCTCTGAGAACACTGCTCTGTGCCATGGCCCTGCTCCCCACCAGGGGCTGGGGCAGACCTTCCTCATCACTGCTTGCCTCATTGGTATTGGGCAGAAAACAGATAGCTAAATCATCATTTCTCTGCATCTAATTTTATAAAAATGTTAATAAAAATATGTATTTTGTTTCAACAAAACAAACAAACGTGACTTTAAGTAAAATTTTTACTTAAGTCACTTTTCTCTCTCTCAGGCCTGATTTCCTAATCTGTAGGTATTTCTGGACAAGCACACAACATCAGTACCCAGAGCTCAGAGCACACCAGGGGTTTCTAGAATAAGGGTCAAAACCAGGAGTCATGCCAAGCCCTGCACAGAGGCCTGGGGGTTGCTTGCTCAGGCACAAGGGAAGTGCCACAACCTCCTGCTTGAAATGCAGGACCAGCAACAGCCCTTGCTAGCACAGAGGAGAGGGCTGGAGACTCTCCTGCCGTACCTGGCACAGCTCACCAGGAGTGGTACCTGGGGGAGGTGGAGACCTGAGGGGGTGATTCTGTCCTGACCAACAGCTGCTTTAGCTCTACTCACTCCACCAGCATCCTGGCCTAGATCAAAACCAGTGTGTCCAGCAGGAGCAGGGAAGTGCTCATGCCCCTGGGAAGGCCACAGCTTGAGTGCTGGGTTGTTTTGGGCTCCACAGCTAAGGCAGACATTGAGGGGGGGGAGCAGGTCCAGAGAAAGGCAAAAAAGCTGGTGAAGGGTCTGGGGAACGTGGCTGGTGAGGAGTGGCTGAGGGAACTGGGGTTGTTTAGTCTGGAGAAGAGGATGCCAAGGAGACACCTTACTGCGCTCTACAACTACTTGGAGGGAGGTTGTAGGGAGGTGGGTGTTGGTCTCTCCTCCCAGGTAACCAGCACTAGCTGAGAGGAAACAGGCTTAAGCTGCTCCAGGGGAGGATTCAACTGGATATTAGACAGAATGTCATGACTGCAGGAGTGGTGAGGCCTTGGCCCAGGCTGCCCAGGGAGGTGCTGGAGTCCCCAGCATGTGTAGACATGGCAGATGGTTTAATGGTCATGGTAGTGTTGGATTGATGGTTAGACTTGATGATCTTAGAGGTCCCTTCCAACCTTTATGATTCTATACAGGCATCAGTTTCTGGAAACTGATGAGCAGTTGTGCCACTTTGCTCCTGAGGAAGTCTTTATCATCTGCATAAGTACTGAAATCTTACCTACTGCCAGAATAACACATTTTTATTAGGTTTACATTGAAGTCAAAGCTATAAATACTTAATCTGAAGGGAATGACACTGGATCTTTTTCTAAAAAAAAAAATACATTAGTTTCCAGAATTTGAAATATACATGAAACAGAGACAAAAGGCCACAAACATCTCCTCTAGCATTACACACATGCAAGAAACAGATGTGCATTTGAAATCAGTGTCACACAGCCCATCTCTGCTCTTCATGGAGACTGCTGTCACATGAGGCAGCCATGGGAGAGGCAGTCCTCAGGACCCACACCCCCTAATTATGCCTTTACTGCT